CAGCCATGGGGGTGGGAGAACACGTACAGATTGCAGGGCTTGTGTCAGAGCCCCCTACATGGCAGGGGACAGTGTGGATCACCCCCCACACACACACCTAGCAGGAGCTGGTGAGTGGGGGCTTTTTTTTTTTCCCCCAAAGAGCAGGGAGCTGGGGTGGGCAGAGCAGCCATTGAGAGTGGGTGGGGGATGGAGCTTGTGTGATACAGAGATTCGGCTGATTTGGCAGCAGCTGAATCTCTGAATCTGATTCAGCTGAATCAATTTGGGACAGTGATTTGAATCACCGAATCAAATCACAGTCCCCCGAATTGGCTGAATCCAAATCTGAATCCAAAGTGAATACTAGCCACTTTGCACAGACCTACAAATCTGCTCCCACTTCCCTGTATGTGTAGATGTGTGTCCAGCAGCATTTACTCACAAGTAAACTGGTGCCACATCAAATGCATGTGTAGATGCACCCTGTTAGAAGCCAACTTTGCTAAACTAGCTAGCCAGAAGTTCTGAAGTATATTTTTTTAGAGAAGCAAAAAGACTTATGGAAACCAAAATTAAATCTCCTCTGTGAGTCATAAATGTAATATTTTGTCCATTCCTGAAATTCTTATTCACATAGTAAATAAATACATCTCTTGGTATTAGTGACTCCAGCTTCTCTCAGAGGCAGAGGAGGTATTGCTTTCAATGTTGATGCTACAAGGAGAGGAAAGGTATATGGCCACTTACTATAAAACAAAAGACATAAACAGTCTGAAGCCAAGAATGTAGGACAAGGCAATTTAAAAAAAAAAATGTGATGTCATTCAATATTGAATTCAGATGGAATTTTGCTAAATTAAGACTTTAGTATAACTTTTAGCCTTTAGTATAATGCACTTGTATGGTTGCTTTTCATAAGGCAGTGTCCCTTTTCTATCCCTGTTTGAATACAGTGTGCGTAGTGGAGAAAAATCAGATAATACGAAGCAAATTTGCAGTCATCTTAGAACTTGGTATGCAAACTATAGATTTGTATTGGCTTCTCAGTTATACAGAAAGTCACTTAATTAACCTTCCAAATAGAACATAGCCCCTTCTGTCATGACAGCAGTTAGAGTTAATGAAGATTAGGAAGATAATTGGTTATTTTAGAAAGCCAGCAAGAAAGCATAGAAGAGCCTCATGAGTTACAAGTGCTAGTAAAGAGAGGCTAAAGAGAGAATAACACTTTGTATTGTTGACCTTCAAAAGTTCATACTCTTCTCCCAAAATTTAATAGTAGATGAAAAAAGAATTAACAAGGCACCACTAGACACAGGGTGTGCTTTGGAGATTTAAACCAAGTCATGATTTTAGCCAGGGAAATGGGATTTGCTAAAGAGTGTAGTTTCCCTGTTGACTACAAATGAGCTAGGTGCAAAGGCACCTTGGAGAAGAACTAAGAATCCACTCTAAAAGCCTCACTAAAACCTACAGTTCAGCTTACAGTGGTAGATTCCTTTAAATATCACTGCAAAAAAGCATTAATAAACCACTTCAGTTTCAAATAATATTTTACAGTAAAAGGAATGTTAACTCTATTTCTGTTAGTTGATTTATTGCCCATGACTTAGATGAGATGACCATTCTTATGCAGCCATCTAGAAATAATATCAATCTAGAGTGGAGAATAAATGTGATAGGCACTAGTTAGTGCTTGATGTATGTGTTGATCTTAAAGTCAAAGTTTAAATATTGAAACACTTCTGAATCTTAGCCAATAATTATACTATGATGATGGTTAGGATACACAGTCAGTGAGACACTCCCCAAGCTGAATAGATAGGCAACTTCCCATCAGTACTTTCACTATTTAGGTATTATAATATGTGTAGTTTGATTGACTTTCAGTCTTCCTTCTGTTGAACTTATCAGCTGCAAATGTAATGCCTTTAAGACATGACCCACAGGTCATATGGGGAAAATGTGGCAGAGCTGTGAATTTAACTGAGAGCTCCATTCTAGTGTTTTACCCAAAAGGGTATCATTCTTCACAGAATCTCCCTTCACCTTAACTCAGTTATGAACTTCTAGAATAGCAAATTTCTCCTTCTGCTTCATTTAAATAAGATACAAGATACCACTATGTGAGACAATGAAGATGATTCATATTAATAGCATATTCATAGAAATCTAGATATTTTATAATAGAGTCCCCTGGCACACATTACACTTCAGGCATGATTAACCAGCTAATCACATTTTAAGCTGTTACGTGCCCCTACCTTAATGCAATTAATAGTTTGATAAAACAAGGAATAAGCCAAAAAGTTATTACACAGAAAACATGGTACCTATCACACCATTAACACTCCATGGCTGGGAGCCACATTAGCTGATGGATCTCCCAGTCACTGGGGTGCACCATGCAGTTTTATAGCTGGAAGCCCCATCATCTAATCTGGGCTTCCAGGTATGGGGCACTGCATGGTACACCCCTGCTGCTGGGACACCCATTGGCTGACAGGGCTCCCAGTCATAAGCACTTGCTAACTGCTGGTGCAGGGCAGCCCAGGATCATGATCCCACTGGAAATAAGACACTATGGCATCTGATGCTTAATCCTACAATCATGCCTGATGCCATGCACATGTGGCATAACAGGAAGTGTGATTGTGGGGATCATCGCGCACCAGATCCCATGGTGTCTTTATTTGCATATCTGCCAAGGGCCTAGGAAAAATAAGGTTCAGTTCGCTGTTGACTTAGTTTGACAGATTTCCAATGCATGGAGCTACACCAGTGTAAAATTGGAAAAAACATGCCAATGAACAGCACTCCCATGTATAAGATAAGGAGCCATTTGAAGACTGGCTACATCAACACAGGATTTTTCTTCCCTGAATATGTATTTCTTATCTTAACAGTTTCAATCCCAGAAAAAAAATTGTTTTTGTCCACTCCAGACCTGGAAGAATATAGTGTTTAAAAAAACAAAACAAAACTCTCCAGGCCTAACCAAGCACAAGGCAGATGGTGAAATATCTAGACATATGGAGAGATTTCTAGCTTCTGAGCTAGTCTTACACTGACTGGCCTAAAGGAACTCCAGTAACTGTCTTCAAATGTTTCACCAGTTTTCCACCATAAAGGTATTTCAATAGTGTACTGAAAGTGCTGATGTGATCTGAAGATGGCCTGTTAGAAAGGGGAATACCATACCATTATACAGTAACAGTTCAAATCACAAGATTGGTTTGACCTGTCCAGCCCTATGGGCTAGATCTGGCATTCAAGGCTGGTCTGAGGGTCTGATTCATCATGGGCACTACATGATTCCACTGTGAAATACCCCACTAGAGCTTAGTTCCATCCTGTGTTGCAGTTTGAATTAAGAAAGAGGAACTAGAATGAAACTATTTACAAGGTGGTATGCAGGCATCAATAATACTTAGGTTTGAGATGTTTATACATTAAGGCTCTAAGACCTTGGTTGGGGAATACAAAGTTACAGTAACTTGTTGAAGACTGTACAATTAACTTGGATTTAAGCCTATTATTTTCTTAACTTGTCAGACCGTTGTATTGTGTCATGTGCCTTTGTTGTTTTAGGGTCCCAAAGTGGGAGCTGAGCTCCAGGCCTGTTGGCGTATCAGGTGCTAGGCTCAGTTTCTGGTAAACTGGAATGCCAAAAGTGTAACATTTCAGCTTCTTGCTGGTCAGCTGATGGAGAAAACTTGCTAATAATATGTTTTAATGGGTTAGATGAGGGGTGACAGGTCAATCTGCAGGCCAAGTCCCATCCATGGGCTGCTTGGCCAGGTCCCAATGTAGCCATGCAAGTCCAGCCCTGCCAGGGTCCAATCCAGACTTGAAAATTTGGCAGAAGAGAAATGCTGGAGGTGTTAATTTCCACTACTCCCCCACTGCCAAAGATCACAACCGCTGGGGAGACCCATGGGCCAGATGACAAAGCTCTGCGGGCTGGAGGTTAAGCATACCGTTCTAATTTATTTTCTCATTTTAATATTTGTCTGGGTTTTTTGCATCTTGCCATCTGTAATTTAGTTTGGTTGAGCCAATTTGCCATCACAGGCCACATCCAGACAAGCATGGACATTTGGTTCTCTTGTGCTGCAGCTACTTGTCCCTGGGAAATGCCGGTGCCATGCGTGCATTGGTGCACAGCAAGTTACCCTGAGGGTAGTAGGGGAGGCTGGGGCCAGCAGCTGGCCTCACCAGCCTTACCTGGAGTTCTGGAGGCTTTCTGGGACTGCAGCAGTGGCAATCCTTCCAGGTGGATCCTGGCTGGCAGCTGCAGCATGGGTCCTGGTGGCCCAGCTCTGCTTTTCAGCAGCACGTGCTTCCCACTCATGCACTGCTCTTCTTTTTTTCCCCCATGGTAAAAACAAACAAACACTTTTTCTTCTAGAGGTAAAAAATAACATGGGGGGCCAGGGAAATGCAGAGCAGCATATGCATGGGCAGCATGGCTTTGCAGCATGGAGAACACCTGACTATGCAGTATGTGGTGCAGACATATTTGTGGCACCACATACCTCATGGCTGTGCTCGTCTGGACATGCCCACAAAGTGTAACCATTGTTTTTTAATCATTTGTGCCAGATACCAGACTGAAACCCCTGGACACCCATGCCCTCTGCTTGTATATCTAAAGACAGGGTTGCGCTAATGGAGGGACTACTTCTAAAGGTGAATGGGTAACTTGTGATCTGTGCTAAATCTTTCCTTTGACTTCAAACAGATTTTGAATCAGGCCCTTATCAGTAGCCCCAGTGCTGGCCAAGGCTGCTGATGGAAATTCCAATTAGTGACTGTTCTGGCTTTATTTTTTGTTTTGTGAATACTTATTTACTAGGAACTGGACTGACTCCAGCATCCCAACTGAATTCTGTTATTTCCTTTATACCTAAAATTTAAGGGATGGATTTAACTGCAGATGGAAGGATCGACCTAATTGTACATCTCTGTAGTTTACTGTTGTTGAATTTGCATTTTCTGGGTTTTGTCCTCAATAGGTTTACACAGTTGAAGAACATGGTATGGATATTCTCATGTGGTCTTCAAGCAGGAAAAAAGAAAGGAGATGGATGTATGCAAATGTGGTCCTCTCCAGTAACAGTCCTTTCAAAGTTGCATTTGAAGCTGAAGTGGGGGCAAATGAGCTCACAGAATTTGCTCTTGATGATATTTCTTTCACTCCTGAATGTATGGCTGGAGGTATGTGATAGTACAAATATGGTAAATTTACTTATGGCTTTGGAGGGGGTGGAGGACATGTTCCATCTTACAGTGGAGTGTTTATGTTCTGTTCATAGCATGTTTTAAAAAACTTAGTTACCAGTAAAAGTAGTTGAAGGGAACTCCATTAAAAAGCCAGAATTTTAAGCTACTGCACTGCAAACATGATAGCTAACAAGTATGGTAATATCCTATAAGATTGTAGAGAAAAAATTAAATATCTTGGATAATTCTGCATAGAAATAGTAAATATTGGGGGTTGTTTGTTTGTTTTGGTTTTTGTTTTGTTTTGTTTTTTTAAAACACATACAATGTTACAGGTGTTTCTTCCTTCCAGTGCCTTTTCCAGACTGCAAGGATCACAATGGGGGAGTGGCAGAGGGCAGGTACAAAAACGGGGAAATCCTTCTATTGCTGCCACTGTCCCCTGCTGAGCATGGCACCACCTGCAGCCAGAGCTTGTGTCTGGAGCAGGGCAAGAGTGACTCAGAGTCTCCCCTTGTACCCAGATCAGCTGGGGACAGCAACAGCAAAACAGTGGGGGTTGGGCTGCAACCACTTTACTGCATCCTCCTTGGATTCACCCCTGAAGGCTACTAGTCATATCATAGGTATCAGTTTGTATTGGGGAAATAAAGGAAATAAAGAGTAAATTTATCATCTCTGATCTGCAGGGCAGATTTTGATTTAGATCATTGGTTTTCACTAAATGTGTGAATTTCCCATTGGGCATCAAAGGAGTTCTACCCTTGTAAGTGGAGAAAAATATCTGAATAAAGATGTTTACACTTTGAGTTGGTAAGGTTATCTTTTTTTCCTAAAAAAACAGCATTTGAACAAATCAGTAATTACAGTAACCCTTAATACAATTGCTATAATTGAAGGCCTGTTAGTTTTACTGTGAACCCTATATGAAAGGGTTTTGTTATGACCCCAGCTATAACAATTTTCTCTAGGATGAAAACAGTAAGACAAGGCTTCAGTTTGGAATGGAAGGGTTTTACAAGCACGGAAGTTACTCACAATTTAAAAAAGAAAATGGTTTGTTCTTTTATCTTTGCTCTCCTCATAAAAAATCTTAGCAGCATAACAAATTTACCTTGTTGCCAGGCACTTCAAGATTTTATGATCTCTAATGCAAACTAGAAAAAACATTGTGACTTGAACTGTGCAAAGAAATGGCTTGAATCCTAGAGCTCTACAACACTGCTTGCTATGCATGTGAACTATTACATAGTGCAGGGGTTTTCAACCTTTTTCAAGGAGTGTACCCCTCCTGGACTGTACCACCTGGACGAGCTGGGATGAGGGAGATCCTCCAGCAGCCAGTTCACAAGCGGGGAGGGTGGTACTTGGTTGGCAGCAGGTGGTGGCAAGTGGTGATGCACAGCAGCAGCAAGAGAAGTGAAGGTGCTTGGGAACCACACCACCGCCACCTGCCACTGCTGCACAATGGCACACAGTGATGCACTTCCCAAGTATCCCCGCTTCTCCACGCCACTGCCGCATACCCCCTGGAGCCTTCCCAAGTACCCCCGATTGATGACTCCTGACAATGTAACCTCACAATTAAAAACAGCTAATTAAACTGTTTGCATGGGGATCAATCATTCTTAAAAAGTGATGTAAGTTTAATGATTTCATAGTTGGTAGGGTCAGAAGGGACCTGAGCAGATCATCAAGTCCGATCCCCTGCCATGGGCAGGAAGGAATGCTGGGGTCAAATGACCCTGGCAAGGTGTCTATCTAGCCTCCTTTTGAAGACCCCCAGGGTATCAGTGAGCACCACTTCCCTTGGAAGTTGGTTCCAGATCCTAGCCACCCTGACTGTGAAGTAGTGCTTCCTGATGTCTAGCCTGGACCTACTCTCAGTTAACTTGTGGCTGTTATTCCTAGTTACTCCTGGTAGTGGTCGGGGGAACAGGTGCTCTCCCATTCCCCGCTGGTCCCCCCGGTAAGTTTATGGATGGCCACAAGATCCCCTCTCAGCCTTTTCTTGTGAAGGCTGAACAGGTTCAGGTCCCAAAGGTAGGGCCTGGCTGATATCTAGCCTGAATCTACTCTCCATCAACTTATGGCCATTATTTCTTGTTACTCCCAGTAGTGCTCGGGGGAACACGGACTCTCCCATTGCCTGCTCGTCTCCCTTGGCTAGTTTATAGATGGCCATCAGATCCCCTCTCAGCCTTCTCTTGTGGAGGCTGAACAGGTTTAGGTCTTGTAG